CTCTTCTTCTTTTGCTGACTTCGTGGACGCATTGCATCCCTGCAGTGTGGTTGCGAGGCTGCTCGGAAGGTGGCAGAACCATAAACCTTCACGAAGCTCCTGTGTTTTTGTAGGGTCTTCAAGGGGGGTATGCAACCCAAGGTTCCCTAAGCCCTAAACCCTAAACCCCCCCATGAACCCTCCTCCCTTAAGGACACCTCACTGTCTTCCTGAGGCTGGTGGTTCGGGTGTGCCGGGCTGCCGCGACGTACGTCGCCGAGGCGTTGAGGCCGGGGTTGAGAGATCTTAGTAGCTGAGTGAGTACACTGTACACTTTTTTGGGGCTTATGAACTCAGCAACTAAGGATTCATGGTTGAGGGTTTTAGGGTTGAGAGATTTGTGGTTGAGGGTTATTTTAGGGTCGAGGATTTAGGGGGTTTAAGGTTGAGGGGTTTCGGGTTCAGGGATTTCTAGGGCCTTGGGGGTCAGGGCTTGATATTCCCCCCCCCCCCCCCCCCACCCCCCCCTCAGGCCTGCATTTTTTGAAGTAGTTTTTGGTGGGAGCGTTTTGGTATTGAAGGGCATGGTTGAGCGGAGTCCAGGCCCTCTTGTTGTCTATCGGGCTCCGACACCACAAAGGACTGCCACAAACCTTCACCACATTCTGCATCTTTGGTTGCAACAGCTTTCCGAAACCCAAAGCCCTGACGTTTCTTCATCATCTGATTTCAAGCAGCCACGTCTAGCCATTTACAGCGAGGCCCTCCACGTCTACGCCATGCTTTGTGCCCTAAACCCGAAACCCGAAACCCTAAACCCTCAACCCAGTGCGAGGCCTGGGCAGGTCAACTCGATGCGCCTGAGTTGCATTGAGTTCAGGCTGAGGGGGTTGGAGACTTACCCCAAAGCCCAAAGCCCAAAACCCTAAACCCTAACCCTAAACCCTAAACCCTAAAACCCTAAACCCTAACACCCTAAACCCTAACACCCTTTGTAGGCTGTGGGGCTGGAGATTGGGAAAGAATCTGACGCTGCTCTGTCTGCAAACATCAAGCCCTGTCGTGCACCGGCCAATAAGCCCTTGGAAGCACAAGCATAGTACAGTACTGTGCACCAGCGGATGCAGATGTCACAAAAACAAGCTATCAGCCCAGGCCTAAGCCCTAAAGCCGGCCAGCAATTATAGTGCCTATAGTTGCAGGCAGGCTTTGAACTTCTTTTACTGGAGGCATTGGCTCGGCCTTGCCACACACATAAGTGGAAGTTGGGGGTGCTGTTGTGTTGCCGTCGTCTAAGTTGCTCTCTCTCTCTCTCTCTCTCTCTCTGCTGTTGCATCAGAGCCGTGCCAAGGCCGAAATGATTCGGAAGCAGAACGATCTGCGCCCAGATGGAGGTGGGCGGTGGGCTTGATTCCATCGAACCAGCTCCTATTGGTGCTCCGGGCCACGGGTAGCCTGATTCCCTGGTTTTCAGGGTTAGGGACAGGTTAGGATTCGAAACCTCTTGTTCGTAGAAAGTGGAATAAGAAACCTCGTTGTGGGCGAGAGTTTCGAAGAGAGACTTCCCAATTCGAGGAGTTTTTGGGGCGGAGGAGGGATTTGAGAGGAGGCGGGGGGCGGGCGCCAGGCAGGGGCCGGGGCAAAAGTCCTCCGCCAGAGAGAACCCTAAACCCTAAACCCTAAACCCTAAACCCTAAACCCTAAACCCTAAACCCAGAAGAGCGGGGGCCCAACAGAACCCAGGACCCAGAGTAGGCCCTTATTCCACTTTTGTTTAGGCTTTCGGTTCCTTCATAGGCCCCTTTAAACCAAAAAGGGCACCCTCTTTATTCCTAGGTTACTCTTGGGTACAGTCTCCTAGGCCCTAGGCTAAGTTGGCTGACTTTGGGGTTCGGGGAGGAACTGCCCTGTATGTAACTTAACCACTCTTAAATGTCCCAATACGAAACGCACACTCTGCAATCCAGAACCTGGGCGTCTAAATGTCTCTTAGCTCCAAACTCTAGTTCCTCAATTCGTAAAGCCTTCCATCGTGCTCCCGGACCGGAGTTCTAGAGTAGCCAGCACGGCTGAATTCACAGGGAATGAAGATGTCTAGGGGCTTCGGGTTTAATGTGTTGGCCTTTATGGTTGAAGCAGTTTATGCATATTTTTGTTTTTTCAGGCTTACGTAGTGTCGGCCAAACAAAACGCAGATCTCGCGGAGCTCTGCGACGGCGACATCGTGCCCATCGGGGCGATGGCCATGCACGTCCCCGCCTCGGCTCGTGTTCGTATAGCTTGTGGCTTCGTGTGGTCAATGTTGGCAGCTTAATGCCAAACCCTAAGCCCTAAACCCTAAACCCTAGAAGAATCACCAGCCTCCTACCAGCAGGGCTTCAGCATCAATAGTAAGGGTTGAGGGGTTTGGGCAAGCCAGAACTAGGTGGGCCCGTGGCATATCCCATTTCCTCTAAACCCTAAAGCCTAAACTCCAAACCCTAATTAAACCCTGAACCCGCAACCCTTAACCCTAACCCTAAACCCAAACCCTAAACCTCTCTATCATATAATAAATTAAGCCTTAAGGAATTCGTGGTTCAAGGCAATTTCTCGTGGTTTAAGGCAGTTTTTTCGTGGTTCAAGATGTTCAAGGCAATATGTTCGTGGTTAAGGCAATTGCCTTAAACCACGAACAATTGCCTTGAACCACGAGAATTGGTCTTGAACCACGAACAAAATTGCCTTGAACCACGAAAAAATGCCTTGAACTGCGAACGATTTGGTGGTTCAAGGCAATATTTTCGTGCTTCAAGGAAATTTGTCGTGGTTCAAGGCAAATTGCCTTGAACCACGAGAATTGGCCTTGAACCACGAAAAAATTGCCTTGAACCACGAGACTTGGCCTTGAACAACGAGAATTGGCCTTGAACCACGAAAAAAATTGGTTCAAGGCAATTTTTTCGTGGTTCAAGGCAATTTTTTCCTGGTTCAAGGCAATTTGTTCGTGGCTCAAGGCAAGTTTTCGTTGTTCAAGGCAATTTTTTCGTGGTTCAAGGCAATTTTTTCGTGGTTCCAGGGTTCACGGCCTGGGGTTTACGGTTTCTGGGCCTCAAGGCCTGGAATGTAGGGTTTCTGGGCCTCAAGGCCTGGGGTTTAGGGTTTCTGGGCCTCAAGGTCTGGAATTTTGGGTTTCTGGACCTCAAGGCTGAGGGTTTCAGGGTCTCAAGGCCTGCAGTTTAAGGTTTCAGGGCATCACGGCCTGCAGTTTAGGGTTTCGGGGCTTCAAGGCCTGGAGTTTAGGGTTTCAGGGCCTCCAGGCCTGGGGTTTGAGCCCTGGGGATGCTACGGAGATGCAAAGGGTTTAGGGTTTAGGGTTTAGGGTTTAGGGTTTAGGGTTTAGGGTTTAGGGTTTAGGGAATGGCAAGAACATGAACTTGATTCGTTTAGGCCTGTGAAGCTGAGTTGACTGGAGAATACCGGTGTTTTTTTGTGTTTTCTCAATGTTATGGGGTTCTCTGGGTGGGTGTTATATCAGAGCTGGAAATATAGCTTTACCAACAAACTGCTCGATCCGGAGCTGCTGAACCCTAAACCCTAAACCCTAAACCCTAAACCCTAAATTCAGAGGAGGAGGGCTCAGAGAGGGCCAACCTGGCAGAACACTCTCATCTAACCACGACGGCCTTAAACCCTAAAGCCTCAACCTTTAGGGTTTAGGGTTTATTTAGGGTTTAGGGTTTAGGGTTTAGGGTTTCGGAAATCGTTGCGGGTTGAGGGTTAGGGAATCCTCCAACCTGAACCCCAACACATCAGCGGCCTTAAAAACCTCAACCCTGCAACCCTCTCAAACCCTAAACCCTCAACCCTAACCCTCCGAAACCCTACACCTTAGTCTCGAAAAGCCATAAACCCTCCGTCCGCAAGCACCAACGTATCTATCTAGCATGTCTTTGCAATGGGCCCCAAAGCTACTATACCCTAAACATAAACCCTGAACCCTAGAACCCTGAACCCTTTACCCTGGACCTGAACCCCAAACCCGAAACCGACACCCTATACCCTATAAGCCCAAAACCCTATGAACCTACAACCCTATAAATGACCCAAAACCCTGAACTTTAAACCCGAAACCCTAAACCCTAAACCGGATTCTAAACTTGGGCTCCAGTATGTCTCTGACCTTTCCCCGTAAACACCGATTCTGCACATGGATCCTGACAGCTTCGGAGCTCGCGAAGCCACGCGTCCCCCCCCCCCCCCCCCACACCCCCCCCCCCCCCCCCCACCCCGCCCCCCACCCCCCCCCCCCGCCCCACCCCCCCCTGCCCCCCCGCACCCGTTTGCCCCCACCCCCCCCCCCCCCCCCCCCCCCCCCCCCCCCCCCCTCCCCCCCCCCCCCCCCCCCCCCCCCCCCCCCGTGCCCCCCCACCCCCTATGCACCCCCCCCCCCCCAACCTTAAAACCTAATCCCTAAACCCTAAACAAAGGGACAAGTGACTGAATGCCTCGCCTGGTTTGTGCGAGCGTGAGCGATGAAATCCTCAACGAAGCATCCCGAAGCCCGAACATCCTGTAAGCCGTGGAGACTCCCTAAACCCTGAACCCTAAACCCTAAACCCTAAACCCTAAGAACGAACCCGCACTTGACAATGTTTTGAGGCAATCCATACGCCCGGTCACACACCTGGCGGCCGGCCCAGTGGCCGCGTTGAGGGTTGAGGGTTTAGGGTTTCATTTTCAGGGTTCAGGGTTTAGGGTTCGAGGTTTAGGGTTTAGGGTTTTGGGCTTAGGGTTCAGGGCAGAAGGGATCGGGGGTTTCTGAATGTTGGAACCGTTTGGGCTTTGGGCCATTACAGAACTGTAGAGGATTCAGGATGAGAGGCGGCATTGTTGCTATTAACTCAGAGAATAGAAACCCTAATCCCGAATCCTACTATTTCGTGTCGATCCCGGCGATGCATCCGCCCATGTTTCATTCTTCTCAAGTTGCCGCTTGTCACAAGCGGCCTCCTAGCCACCGTACACCTTACACATCCATCATGGCCCGGGGGGGAGGTGAATGCCTTGTTCAGAATCCACACGGACAGGAAGCCTCTCTGGTGCAGAACATCTTCCGTGTCTCCAAGCATGCTGGACCTCTGACAGATGGGATCACTCCGGAGGACTTCTCACACGTCCTGGTGCCCATCGGCGCGAGCATTTTAGTCCCGGCGCTTTGTTGCACATGCCTCATTTTCCTTCATGAGTTGCACGTGGGAGCGGGCGCGAAGCCATGGCTGGCAAGCCACGACCAAAATAGCACCGTGCTGCTGCAGGTCGCCTTTCTGACATTCTGGTTCGTGCCCTACCTCATCGACTCCATGATGATTCCTTTGTCGCTGGAATATGCCTTAGCTATGGGAGAATCTGCCACTGCTAGTGGCGTGTTCCTCGGCATGGCTGCTGCGGGATCTACTGTCGGCATTGTCCTAGGACAGAGCCTCACGAGTGAGGCAGACTGGAACCAGCGCTACGCCCGGAAACTGTTCATCTACTTCTACGGGCTGTCGGTGATGACAATGCCGCTTCTCGCATTGATCCTACAAGCCTCAATTGATTGGAGCCTTCGTGCCAGAAGGCTGACCTTCTGGCTCGTGATCGCCTTGAACTTTGTGAACACTTGCATCGGCAGCATTCCTATCATTGCCTGGAGCACCATGTGGCTAGGACCCAGAGTGGGCCCTTATTCCCTTTTGGGCGGGGATTTTGTTCCCTTCTAATCCCCTGTTAAACCCAAAAAGGGCACTTTCTTTGATTCCTAGGTTTCTCTTGGGTCTAGGTGGAACATTGTCACGCCGCAGGGTGAGAAGACCTTCTGGATGATGCTGACCCAGTGTGCCAGGAATGCGGGTTTCATTCTGGGGTCGATCTACTTGGCTGGCCTCAGTCATGCCATCCGCCTGGCCAAAGGTGGCCAAACCACCTCCCCAATTAACATGATGAGCTGGGCATCTAAGCCAGCGTTTATGGGATGTTTTATATTTCTCCTTGCTTGGGTTTCAGAAGCTATATACAAATTTTGTTCAAACCCTAAACCCCAAACCCCAAACCCCAAACCCTAAACCCCAGCCCCCCAAACCCTAAACCCTAAACCCTAAACCCTAAGCCTAAACCCTAAACCCTAAGCCAACCCAGGCGTTCATGGCCTCCTTCTTCATCCAGCTTCTGGAACTGGCGGCCTACTCCCTGATCTTCCCGACCGAGCTGAAAGACGCAAGCCCCCCCCAGGTGGGGTTTAGGGTTTATAGGGTTTAGGGTTAAGGGCTTAGGGTTTAGGGTTTAAGGTTTATTGTTTAGGGTTTAGGGCTTAGGGTTTAGGGGGATCATTGTGGGAGTTTCGTTTTGTTTTGTTTTTGGGGCCGGGGTTTGGAGCCCGACAAATCCTGAAGGTTGAAGCTTCTTCCGGCTCCAGACAGCAACCCTATCATTCCTTCTAAGATCCCAAAGGGCTCGGGCACCTTTCGTGGGGGATAGCTTGGGATTTTGAGGTAGTCACCACAGAGAATCTACGAATAAGGGCGCCCTTCGTGTCTACACCTGACACCTTAAACCCTAAACCCCTAAAACCCTCAAGCCTTCAAACCCTGAAAAACCTCAAACCCTAAAACCCTAAACCCTCAAATCCTCAAACCCCAAACCCTAAGCCCCAAAAACCCTCAAACTCTCAAATCGTCAAGCCCTAAATGCGTGGACCCTGAACACTGCCTTGCGGTTCGGCCAGCTACGCCCCTAATCCCTAAAACCCTCAGTCCCTCAAACATCTAAACCCTCAGTACATAGACCGTTAAGGAAGGTTAAACCCTAAACCCTAAACCCTAAACCCTGAAGGTGGAGAGCCCCTCATCGGAAGTCCAAGAGGTTTCGGAGATCCGCCCGGAGGACCTGGAGGATGCCGCCAAGGAGCAGGTCGGAGGGGTTTAGGGTTTGGGGTTTAGGGTTTAGGGTTTAGGGTTTAGGGCGTTTAGGATTTTTAGGATTTTAGTTGACTTTGTACGGTGGCTAGTGTATACAGGGAGGTTCGGGTTAGGGAATGTATTTAGGGCTTCAGGGCGTTAAGGGTTTAGGGTTTGGGGGTTGGGGCAGTGCCTGGACCGTGTTGGGACTATAGGACCCGTTGCAGAGGTTATCTGCTACAAGACATATCAGAGGATCGTTGAAATCCTAAACCCTAAACCCTAAACCCTACACCCTTAACCCTAAACCCTAAATATGAGAACAGGTAGTTTGGGGCGTGATCTTCTATGGGTATGAGCGGACTTTCTCCGTGGGGGCGATTGAAGTGGCAACAATTATGCTTCTTGGTAGCCCAGTGGTACCCTTTTTTGTTGGTTCAAGGCTTCCTTGGGAAGTAAGCAACCCCTAAACCCTAAACCCTAAACCCTAAACCCTAAACCCTCATTATAATATAGTTGCTGGCTACCAAGGCTTCTGGAGGTTTCGTACGGATGGCCTCCGGAACGCAGCGGCGTCTCCTTCGTCGTCATCGCAGCGGGAAGCATCGTCCTCACCGGACTGTCGACTCTCGCCGTCTCGATGAAGTTGACGACCGAGTCTCTGATCTATTTGCTGATGACCTACCTCGGGTTAGGTGGGGTGGCCATATGTATATATGTATATGTATATATGTATATGTATTATGTATATGTATATGTATATGTATATGTATATGTATATGTATACATATATGTATATATGTATATATTATGGGGGTTTACGATATAGGGCTTAGGGTTAGGGTTTATGGTTTCGGGTTTAGGGTTTAGGGTTTAGCATTTGGGGACCCGGAATATGGACGTTTCCGAAATTGCGGTACCCTATTTGCGTCCCTAGGATGAATTAAGGGAATTAATCCTACTATTTTGGGGTCTATTAGGGGTCCATTATTTCCGTAAACCTCCAGGTGGATCCGTACTGCTTTTTGACTTTCACGTCTTCGGTGCTGGCAGCTTACTCGTGGCTGATGCCCTCGTCTCTATATCCCCCTTGGGAATAATTTTGATTTTTGTTCTCATAAATCCCAAGAGGATACTAATAATATTATTGTTATTAAGGTTCTAAGGGGAGTATAGGCTACTACTAATAATATTATTGTTATTAAGGTTCTAAGGGGAGTATAGGCTACTACTAATAATATTATTGTTATTAAGTTTCTAAGGATTTTTGTTCTTATAAAGACCAAGAGGATACTAATAATATTATTGTTATTAAGGTTCTAAGGGGGAGTATAGGTCTATGGTGGCGCCAGCGTCGCCAACGGCATCGCAGAAGGCTGGGCGTGCCGTGCCGCGACCATGGGCACATCCTACAGCATCGAGACCTACCGAACCTTAGTAGCCGAATGAGTACACTATACACTTTTTTGGGATACGATAATCCCTTACCCTGAACCCTAAACTCTATAATCCTCTATGAACTGCAAGGCGCACATAGCACCGCCGGTGTCAACGTGAGCCGCTTTCTGGCCCCCATCATCGCGCGATTTCTCTTGGACTTTGGGGGAAGGAACCTCTACGCTGCTGTGCAGTTCCTCTTTGTAGCTGAAGGAGTTCATTTTTTTCACCTTCTTGGGATACGATAATCCCCTACCCTAAACCCTGAACCCTAAACCTTAAACCCACTGTTGGGGGCTTATCAACTCAGCAACAAGGTTCTTTCTGTGCCTCATGGCTGCAGTCACTGTGAACCGGGTTGTTTCCTTGGTCTCTCTTGGCAGCTCGGATAGGAGCCCAAGGGCCCGAGGTTGCTAAGAGGCCTTAGGGTTTAGGGTTTAGGGTTTAGGGTTTAGGGATTAGGGTTTAGGGTTTAGGGCTTAGGGTTTAGGGTTTAGGGTTTAGGGTTTAGGGAGACAAACTCGGCAGCTGGACATGAATGCCTTCGCCTTTCGACCACTCCCTGGGCCATCTCGTGCAGGGACATCGAGAAAAGGGCGAAGTCCTCCCCCGACGTCTCTCCGCAAGGGTATGGCACTTCTCCATCATATACCGGCCACGCAGTGTAGTATGATGAAGTTGCAGAGGTTTCGGCCCAGAAGGTCCCAAGTGTACTTGCAGGGTCAGAAACCCTTAGCCCTAAGCCCTAAACCTTTGGTATTTGCAAGCATCGTAAGGGGCACCTTTCTTAATCATCATAAGGACCTCCTGCAAAGCCTTCAGGCTTATAGTTCCAAACTAGTAGGTATTGGACTCCTTGGGGACATGAACCAACCCTTGCCAAGCCCTTATTCAAATCTTATGAACCTTTTCGGGCCCTTCTTCAGCAACCTAAACCCTAAACCCTTATAAGCCCTCGCTAAACCTTGACAAATCCTTGCAGTATAAGCCCTAACCCTTGGTGAGCCCCTCCTTGAACCCTGAGCCTTACTTACACATGTTTGTGTATATGTATCTACAGAGAGAGAGAGAGAGAGAGAGAGAGAGATATAGCGAAATAGCTAGGGGTATATATGTAGTAAAGGAGCCCCCGAAGCCCTAAACCCTAAACCCTAAACCCTAAACACTAAACCCTAAACCCTAAACCCTAAACCCTAAACCCTAGACCCTAGACCCTAGACCCTAGACGCTAGACCCTAGACCCTAGACCCTAGACCCTAGACCCTAGACCCTAGACCCTAGACCCTAGACCCTAGACCCTAGACCCTAGACCCTAGACCCTAAACCTAAACCCTAAATCCTAAACCCTAAACCCTAAACCCTAAACCTTAAACCCTAATCTAGTCTATACCACCTGGGGATGGCATCTTCCCTGGTCTTTGTGGATCCGGTGTGGGATGTTTTTAGAGGGCTTAAGTCTAAAGGGCCAAGCCCCAAACCCGAAACCCTAAACCCCAAACCCCCAAACCCTAAGCCCTAATTCAACCCTAAACCCAAACCCGAAACCCCAAACCCCAAACCCGAAGCCCCGCCCCCTAAACCCCAAACTCCAAACCTAAACCCGACCCCCTAAACCTCAACCCCCAAACCCTAAACCCGACGCCCTAAACCCCAAACCCTAAACCCGACCCCCTAAACCCCAAACCCCAAGCCCCAAACCCGACCCCCTAAACCCCAAACCCTAAAACCTAGCAGAGGAGCTGGACGTCTTCCCAGGTTCGATTTGCTTGTATTTGCCTGCCTCCGGGAGCCTGACGCCTCGAGCCGAGGTGCCTTGTGCCGTGGCTGTTAAGGGCTCTTGGGGCTCTTAGGGTTTAGGGTTTAGGGTTTACTGTTTACTGTTTACTGTTAAGGGCTCTTAGGGCTCTTACATAGAGGTTCATGGTACTTAACCTATTAGATCTGTACTTATAACTGTACTTATAAACGCTTGTAAGTGGGTTATAAGTACAAGCGTAAGTTGGTGAATAAGTACCATGAACCTCCAAGAAGGGCTCTTAGGGCTCCTGGGGCTTCCCAGGGCTCTTAGAACTTGGGGCTTGGGGTTTAGGGTTTAGGGTTTAGGGTTCAGGGTTTAGGGTTTAGGGTTCAGGGTTTAGGGCTCTTGGGGTGTTTAGGGCATTGTAGGGGCGTTTTAGGGGCATGTTAAGGGCACTTTAAAGTCATGTGAGCATTGTTATGGCATTTTGGGGGCATTGTTAGGGGTTTAGGCTTTTCGTGTGTTTTTTTCTATCCGGCTTTTAGGGCATTTGGGTGCTTTCGGGCGTTTGGGGCTTTGGGTGTTTAGGGTTTCGGGGCTTTAGGGTTTTGAGGTTTTTAGGGATTGGCGGGTAAGGAGCTTGCCATGGCCAGGGTTTAGGGTTTGGGGTTTAGGGTTTAGGGTTTAGGGTTTGACATGTAGATACTCTCCACCGAAGCTGAGGCTATCATTGCCCATTCCCTAAACCCTGCTGTTGCTTGCTGCTGAATTTAGCGAAGATCAGAAAGTCGAGTTTTTGATCTGTTGAAACGCCTCTAGGGCTCTAGGAGGGGATGCAACTTGCAACTTCCTACGAAGAACTCGTAAAGTCAAAAAGCTTGCACGAACTTACCGCAATAAGGGGTGTCTTTCTTTACCCTACCTAGGTCCCTAAATAAATAAATACATTGACACGGAAAACTGGGTCCCTTTTTCCGGGGGGGGGCGAAGACGAGATTCGAAGACGAAATTTGAAGACGAAATTCGGCCCAGCTGAAATTAGGCCCCGAAGACGAAATTCGGCACTGAAGACGAAATTCGGCCCCTGAAGCCTAAATTTGGCCCTGAAGCCTAAATTGAGCTCTTGAAGCCGAAATTCGGCCCCGAAGACGAAATTCGGCCCCGAAGACGAAATTCGGCCGCTGAAGACGAAATTCGGCCCTGAAGCCGAAATTCGGCTCCTGAAGACGAAATTCGGCCCGGAAGCCTAAATTCAGCCCTGAAGACGAAATTCGGCCCTGAAGCCGAAATTCGGCTCCTGAAGACGAAATTCGGTCCCGAAGGCGAAATTCGGCCTGAAGCTTGAAGCCGGTTTCGGTCCTCCTTAGGCCTGCATAAAATGGCCCTGAATTTCGTTTTCGGGGCCGAATTTCGTCTTCAGGAGCCGAATTTCGGCTTCAGGGCCGAATTTTCGTCTTCAGGGCTGAATTTAGGCTTCCGGGCCGAATTTCGTCTTCAGGAGCCGAATTTCGGCTTCAGGGCCGAATTTCGTCTTCAGCGGCCGAATTTCGTCTTCGGGGCCGAATTTCGTCTTCGGGGCCGAATTTCGGCTTCAAGAGCCCAATTTAGGCTTCAGGGCCAAATTTAGGCTTCAGGGGCCGAATTTCGTCTTCAGTGCCGAATTTCGTCTTCGGGGCCTAATTTCAGCTGGGCCGAATTTCGTCTTCGAATTTCGTCTTCGCCCCCCCCCCGGAAAAGGGGACCCACTTCCCCGGGACCCTGAATAAATAAATAAATAAATAAATATATATATATATATATATGCTATATAGGTACATGGACCCTTAGGCTAAGGGTGTAGTTTCATGAGCCCCGAAATTGGTTCTTCGAATGGTTCCGAAGAACGGGCCCTTGGTGTTTTATATGGTTTACAAAGGGGTCCCTAACCCTAACCCTAAACCCGAAACCCTTGACCCTTAACACTTGACCCTTAACCCTTAAACCCTTAAACTCACCCTAAACCCAAAACCTAACCCTAAACCCTAAACCCCTGCAGCAGGTGCCCCTAAGGGTAACAGGATACTTGGAGGTTCATGGTACTTCTTACCCAATAATAACTGCACTTATCACCCACTTACAAGCCCCTTAAGTGCCCAAATATGGCTTAAGTACAGTTCTAAGTACAGTTAGAATTGGCTATAAGTACAGTTCTAAGTACAGTTATAATTGCTTAGTAAGTACCGTTCTAAGTACAGTTATAATTGGTTAGTAAGTACCATGAACTTCCAAGTACCTGTCCGAATCCGGGCCCCTGACAGCGCGAGAGGCCCCCCAAAAGCTTCATCTTGGGCTTAGGAGTAGGGTTTAGGGTTTAGGGTTTAGGGTTTAGGGTTTAGGGTTTAGGGTTTAGGGTTTAGGGTTTAGGGTTTAGGGTTTAGGGTTTAGGGTTTAGGGTTTAGGGTTTAGGGTTTAGTCTCCATTGACGCACGGGGACTGGCCCCATGGCAAGTGTGGCATCCAGGGGTCCATCTACTATACAGGAACACTTTAAGAGCCCAAGTATATACTACATGGATACATGGACCCTTTGGGTTCTGCAATGGAGAGCTAGACCCTACACCCTAAACCCCCGAACTCCAAAACCCTAAACCTCAAACCTCGACCCTTGTGTCTTACTGGCATAATTTCCCCCCCAAAAAAGCTTAAAAAGATCTAAAGCCGCTAAGAAACCTCGGCCCTTGTGTCTTGCTAGCATAATGACCCAAAAAAAGCCCCCAAAGCCCTAAAAGCCTTTTAAGAAACCTCGGCCCTTGTGTCTTGCTGGCATAATTTGACTCTAAACCCTAAACCCTAAACCCTAAACCCTGGGTCTTACTGGCATAACTTCTGCCTTGGAAGGCGCAAGTCTCCGAGAAGGAAATCCGGGTTCCCACCAGCGGTGGGTTACTGATCAGCTGCGAACCAAGTGTGGGGTTTAGGGTTTAGGGTTGAGGGTTTAGGGTTTAGGGTTTAGGGTTTAGGGCAGAGGCTGGGTGAGTTAGGGTTTCGAGGTCTGCAGGCAGTTTTAGGGTCGGAGGTTTGGGGTGAAAAGGGCACATGGGTGTTTGGGATGTAGGGGTTTCATGGCTCAGGAGCCGGCTGCCCCAGCTGAAGTTTCACGACAGGGTTGACCTCATGTCCCCCAACTCCCCGGCCAAAAGCCCCCTAAACCCTAAACCCTCAACCCTACTGCAACCAAGGAAGGAGCATCTGGGGCCCCAACAGAGATTCAGGATCCTGAAACCCTAAACCCTAAACCCTAAACCCTAAAACCCTAAACCCTAAACCCTAAACCCTAAACCCTAAACCCAGCTGAGGGGTGGGGGGGATGAGGGGGGCGAGGGGCAGTAACCTGGGGTCTTCTGGGCCACCCAGGATCCTAATACCGCCTCACCTCAGGAGCAGACCTATAGACTAGGGTTTGGGCTTTTGTTTTGGGGGTTCTTTTGGGGTTTTTATGGGTCTAGGGTTTAGGGTTTAGGGTTTAGGGTTTAGGGTTTAGGGTTTAGGGTTTAGGGTTTAGGGTCCTTGTTCAGCTTCAGAGATTCTATGTTCCGAGGGGTCTTAGCGCTCTTCGCGCGCTCACGGCCTTGTCTCAAATTCCACTGAACAACAGGATGTATGTAGCAAGGCCGGCACTTGGGGCATTTGATATTTGCCCTTATTCGGTTTCGGAGGATTAGAACAGGATTTTTTTCAGATTGTTTTAATGGCCATCCCTAAACCCTAAACCCTAAACCCTAAACCCTAGGTAGTCTCAGCCAGGAGCCCGAGCCATTTTGGGCAGAAGGGTATGTCGGGCTTAGTGTTTCGGCAGGGTCTGGCCTCGCTCCCAAGCCCAGTTGCCCAAAACGGTTTAGGGTTTAGGTTTAGGGTTTAGGGCAACCGTGTGACCCCACTAAGGCGGCGACACTCTCTTTGCCTAGGCCTTGGCTGTGTCGGGCGGTACAAGCTCTTCAATCATGGCAAGTGCACTTTCAAGACATATGCAGATGGATCTATGGATTTTTCACCAGACGATGAATGCAAGATGTATCGCTATACGAATGTTTATATTTGCTCATAATATAAGATTATGAATGCTTTTACAACATGTCTGCAAGATATGTGTTTATAGCACTATACGATGGACAAGTCTTCCTAAGATGTCAGAAAGCTGCCCTTGCCTGCTTTCCATGAGCGCAGGCGTCGAAACCCTAAACCCTTAGCGTTTTGCCTGCTAAGAGCGCCCTTCTGCTTAAACATCCTTATATTCCTAAATTTCCCAATACCCCTAAAATTGATATGAGGAAGGTTGCTATAGCTTAAGGTACGTGTTGTTCATGATTGGGGCCCTCCCTCCGCTGTGCTTTTGAGAGGCGTTTTGGACGTACTTAGCTAGCTATGGAGGGCTTTAGGGGCTTTTAGGGGCTTGTTAGTTAGCGGCTGTTAAGGGCTTTTAGGGGCTTTTAGGTGGACACTCTCCAGCCCTAACGGTCACAGCTGGAAGCTGCTAAGCTCACAAAAGCGCCCACGATGTGCCTTTGTTGTGCGGCGTGGGTAAATGGCTCGAAGCACGCCCCAAGGTGAGCCAGGGTTTAGGATTCAGGGTTTAGGGCTTAGGGTTTAGGGTAAACCCTAAACCCTAAACCCAAACCCAAAACCCTACACCTTAAACCCTAAACCCCTAGGTTTGTCACGTTGGCAATCCACTCATACCAAGATGGACGGTGAGAGGCCAAACAAGCCCCAGATCAACCCTTGGGAGGCTGTTGGGGGTAATAAGGTGCAACCATACTTCCTAAACCCTAAGCCCGAAACCCCCTCAGCCCCCCAAACCCTAAGCCCTAAGCCCTAAGCCCTAAGCCCTACGCCCTAAGCCCTAAGGCCCTAAGCCCTAAGCCCTAAGCCCTAAGCCCTAAGCCCTAAACCCTAAACCCTAAACCCTAAGCCCTAAGCCCTAAGCCCTAAGCCCTAAACCCAGCCCTAGGTGGGTGGGGCCGGGCGGACCGACTTAGTGGAGTCCAACCACCAGGACATGCTGCTTGCACGGGCATTGCTGACTTCAACTAAGGTTCAGGGTTTAGGGTTTAGGGTTTAGGGTTTAGGGTTTAGGGGTTTAGGGATTGCGGTTTGGGGTTTGGGGTTTGGGGTTTGGGGTTTAGGGTTTGGAAGGGTCATAGGCGCTTAAAGGAAGGGTTCTGGGTTCAGGGCTGATAGTGTCTACTTGCAGCTTCATGCGTACCAAAGCCCTATCCGAAAACGCGGGTGCTGAAAAACAAACCGAAACCCTTGTCTAATTAGGGTCAGAAGCCGGCTATGAACCTCCAAGCAGACGAGGGTTCAGGGCTGAAGGCCGTGCTTAGCGAAGTTTCCTTAAGTGCAACAGGGATCCTAACATGATTTGAGCGAGGATTCCGTGGCCAAGTAAAGACTCTGTGTAGTTCTTGGGCCATTGAGGTGGGTGCGGAGCGTTTCGTGCATTGGAGTCTAGTCTGGGAGAAGGCTGAGTATCGGTTCAAGGTTTTGATTATCCCTAAACACTAAACTTTAAACCCAATACCCTCGACCCTAAACCCTCATGACGAGCTTGTGCTCCGTCGTCTTGACGCACCCAATCTAACATACAACCAGCTCGAGTTTACCTAACTTTTAACTACGACGTTCTGCTTGCCAACTTGGTGCGCTGCCTTAAACCCTAAACCGTAAACCCTAAACCCCAAACCCCAAACCCGAAACCCTAAACCCTAAACCCTACATCTGTCTTGTCTGTTTTCTTGCTTTTTGTTGAGGTGCGCAGCTTTTCGGTTCCTCCCGGCCCAACCACCCTCTAACCTGGGGATGTTCCCCCTTATACTAACAGTCCTTATTAGGGATTCAAAAGTCCCCCCCCCCCCCCCTCCTATTATACTCCCTATTGGGGTTTAGGGTTTAGGGTTCAGGGTTCAGGGTTTAGGGTTTCAGGGGTATCCCCCCCCCCCCCCTCTGATACTCCCTATTAAAAACTGTTAGTACAAGCGGGAACATTCCGACTCTGACGCTCTGAGTTTGGAAAATGCTGAGGTTGCAATCGCTGGAGCGCCTGTGCAAGCTTCCATCGGACACGGTGGTTCTACCAGGCCACTGAGGGTTTGGAGTTTTGCGTAGAGTACCCACAAGCCCGTTGCAGAAGGTTCATGGGACAGTGCTCCTGCCAGGCCACAACTACGCCTGGAACTCAGCATCTCCTTCGAATGTTCAACACGTCTTCGCAAGAAAAGCCTTCTCTTGCACACGGGTTTGTGTGAACCCCAAGGGTCCATGTACCTCACTTGGGCCCCAAAGTCCCTATGTAGCAAGTACCTTACGGCCCAAGTATTCCTTACTTAGGCACATGGGCGCTTCGGGTGAATGGTTCTTTCGTATTATAGGAAGGGGGGCATACTTTGTTCAGAGAGTTTTCTTCCCAAGGCAAGAGCCCACACCCCGATTGGTTCGGAGCTGTTGGGTGAGGTGATTGACCCCCAAACGTTTAAAAAAACCCTAAATCCTAAACCCCCTAAACCCCCTTACCCCCCTACACCCCCTAAACCCCCTAAACCCCCTAAAGCCCCTAAACCCCCTAAACCCCCTACACCCCAAACCCTAAAACCACCTAGAAGAGCCCTCGGACCATCGAACAACAAAACCATGGGTCGGGACTCCCTCATACTCCGGCTGTACAGTCCTTGCCCGAAACCTGGCTTTAGGGTCTGAAGGGTTTAGGGTTTTGAGTTTAGGGTTTAGATGTTTAGGGTGAGGGTTTATAGGCTCAAGACAGGAAAAATCAACTCGAACTCATTGTAGAGCCACCTTGCCTGCCGCGCGCGTCAACGCAACCAAACCATCAACCTGTGCAGCGGGTAGCTTTCAGGGTCTGAGGTGCTGATTCTGCGATCCTATTTTTGGGACTTTGTTAAACCCTAAACCCTAAACCCCAAACCCTAAACCCTAAACCCCAAACCTAAACCCTTTGTGCCGGCAAAAGGCAAGCAACGGGGCAGCTACGGCTCATGTACCAAAGCAAGCAACGCGGCAGCTACCGCTCATGCGAAATGGGGCAAGCTCTGGCCTCAGACAGATGAAACATAGGGTTTAGGGTTTAGGGTCTATTGTCTATAGGTTCAGGGTTTATGGTTTAGGGTTTAGGGTTTAGGGTTTAGGGTTTAGGGTTTAGGCAAAAAAGGGTTTAGGCCAAAAAGGGTTTTGGGTTTACTTCATAAGCGCAGTTTGAAGTACACGGCTGGTGGACATGGCAGCATTGTGAAAACCGAAGTGCTTTTGGTCGCCGCCATGCGCCGCCGCCGCCGATGTGCAGGGGTCGCCCTGGCTGCCGTAATCGGCACAATGGCTTGGTCCGCACCGAGCTTTGCCGCTCCCGCTGGACGTTCCTTGGTGTCGAACCTTGAAGAGCCCTTAAATGTGAAGGCTGATTTGCCCTTGTGGGATCGTCTTGACAGGTACCATACTTGTGCTTTAAATACACGCGCACTGTTACACGATAAGTTGGAGAACCCCCTCAGGGCCCAGGATTCGTTTAAGCGCTGCGCGGACCGCCCGCCGAAGGCTTTGGGGGGCTTCTATAGTCGAAGAAACAATTCAACACACCCCAAACCCGGGCCACTTAACCTAACAAAAGGAGAATAGACAAGGAAGGATTTTACGATACCCCCTTATGTTCTTTTAAGGGTATGCCCTAACCCTAAACCCTAAACCCTAAATACTAAACCCTAAACCCCCAAGTGGTATGCTAAATGTTGCTTTTATCTCGGGGGTCCCTGAGAGCTTCTCAGGGAAGTCAGGAAGTTGGGGCAGCTGCAGCCGAGCTTCCCCATGCGCCTTCAAGTAGGCAAACCCTAAACCCTAAACCCTAAACCCTAAACTCTAAACCCTAAACCCTAAACCCTAAACCCTAAACCCTAAGCCCTGAACCCTAAACCCTAAACCCCAAACCCTAAACCCTACTTACAAGTACCCCATGCACCTTCCAGTAACCTCCGCAAAGGCCCTGGCGCCGAGGAGCAGCGGCGTCAGCTTCAGTTGCTGGACCAACTCGCGGAGGAGGGCCAGGTCGGGGCCTGAAGAAAGCCTCCTTCTCTGAAAGGGTTTAGGGTTTAGGGTTTAGGGTTTAGGGTTTAGGGTTTAGGGTTTAGGGCTGTATTATAATATAAAGCCTTCCCTCTAAAAGTCTATAAGCAGAATTTTCTGGGGGGAGGTGGGGCGGGGGTTAGGGTTTAGGGCTTGCTTTTGGGCGCGACCTCCAAAGCATGTCGCAAAAAAGGCTTTGGGGGACGGTTTAGGAACTGGGGTTCGAGGATTTAGGGTATGAAGGTATGAACAAGGTAGCTTAGGGCTTGTGGTTAAGCTGGTGCAAGACGGGTTTAAAGGCTCGAGTTTATTTCTAGAGGGATCTGGGGCGTGTTGTCGTGTATTTTGCGGCAGGCCTCGGGGTCCGCTGGTTTTGCGCGATGAAGCTCAACCATTTCCCGAAGCAGTTCGTAGAACAGCCGAGCTTGTGAAGTTTTTAAATTAGGGTAGCTATGGTTCTAACCTGTATGGTTCTAAACCGGATTGCTTATAAGCCTAGGGTTTAGGGTTTGGGGTTTAGGGCTTAGGGTTTAGGAGTACCCCTAAACCCTAAACCTGCTTTGTTCCGTGCAGATGGGGCCCAATCTATGGCAGGGCCTGAGTCGGATTGCATGCTGACCTGGTCAGGTTCTACTCTGTCTTCTTGCCCCCCCGCGACGTAACTACGACCCATAGCGTCTTATATCTAACTCTAAATTTAAACCCTAAACCCTAAACCCTAAACCCCCAAACCCACATTAGGGTTTAGGGCTTAGGGGACCATGATTTAGAGAGCTGGTACCAGGGAGGCCCAGGATCCTGGTCCAGGCTTCCCGAGAGGCCTTTTCATCTAGACTTTCAGGCTTAAGGCTTTTAGGGTTTAGGGTTTAGGGTTTAGGGTTTAGGGTTTAGGGTTTAGGATCCAGCTTCAAAAAGGGTCTTGGGTTGAGGAAGTTATGCAGTCCTTCCGCTATTCCCTTTGGTGACTAAAGAATCGAGTGGTCGCATTCCGGATAGCGGGAGCGTTCGGTGGGAAAGGGCCGCTTCCTCCACCAAAAGCCTGCAACCCTAAACCCTAAACCCTAAACCCTAAACTCTAAACCCTACTTATAAGTACCCACGAGCCTCCGAGCAGGTGGAGCAAGCACGTGATGTTCTTGAAGGCGCAAACTCATTGATGCCAGCTTAGACACGTGCTTTCAAGTCCCTAAAAACCCTAAACCCTAAAGTGCCTAAACCCTAAACCCCAAACCCCAAACCCCAAACCCTAAACCCTAAACCCCAACCCTTACCCTAAACCCTAAACCCTATGTGAATGACCTTATGCCTGGTCATTGTGCCCACCCATGCCAGTGAGCATGCCCATCACTTTGGGCACCCCTGCTGACATGACGCGTGCACCTTAATGGCTGCGCACCTTCCGCACCCTAAACTCCATGTTCCACAACTGGTCCATGACCATCCCTGCCTCGGCAGGCCTCGCAGGGATTTCAAGCCCCAGGACAGATCTTCCTGAAATATCGAAATCCCGGCGTATCTTTCAAAGCAGGAGAGCAACCCGCTAATCACATGGGGTTTAGGGTTTAGGGATTAGGGTTTAGGGACTAGGGTTTAGGGTTTTGAGAGTATTTCTCCAGGGTCTTCGACCTTCCACCGCCTTGCACCTGGGCGGTGGGGTAACGTAGCAAAGCTTACTTGAAGGTTCTTGGGTACTTCTAAAGTCTAGGTAGGGGCCCTTTAAAAAAAGGTTAGAACCTATTATAGTAATATAGCTATAGTTGCTGCTACAGATGACCCCACTTGTATATGTACCCATGTATCTCCAAGTAGTGCCTTAGCAGTTGAGTGAGTAGCCTTTCTTTCAGCCTCTTGTGGCTGGACAGCTGCCTTATGCCTTAAACCACTAAAGCCCCCTGTAAATCTAACAAGCAAGTGAACCCACCACCCTAAACCCTAAACCCTGAACCCCAAACCCTAAAGCCTAAACCCTAAACCCTGAACCCATCACCCCCGTCTGAATTTCGGGCCTCGGGGGCTCAGCCCTGTAATTGTAGGCTGCGCAAGGGGGGAGGGGGGGGAGGAAGCCTAAGTGTGCCTGATCATAGGGTTTAGGGTTTATAGGGTTTAGGGTTTAGGGCTTAGGGTTTAGGATTTTCTTAGGGTAAACGCCACGACAGAAAAAATCAAAAAAAAAAAAAAAAAAAACGCCATTGGTTGCCAGGCCTTCTTCGCGCGCGGCCGAACTTTGCCTCATCCCGAATGCTCTACAACACCGGGATCAAAGCCGGGAGGGGGGCAGGGGGGGAGTAGGGTTTAGGGGCGACCGTAAGTACCCAACGCCTGCATGTTTGCAGTTTATTATAGTAATACCCCTTAAAACAAAACACAATTGTTAACCTACAAAACAATAATAGGCTTCGGAACCTTAAGGGAGAGTTTTGTGGCTTTCGGTTGTTCATTTCGTTGACTTGGCAACAGAGCCACCTTTAGTCAGCTGATTGTTCAATTAGGGTGCGGTCTAGGATTTCGGGTTCGGAGTTTAGGGCTTAGGGTTCAGGGTTTTCAATGAGGATTGAGGGGTTGCAGTATGGAGTTGAGGGAGCTGCGTGCTCGGAAATACTTCTTCATTTTTGTTCCATTACAACGGGTATGTTGGGTAGCCTTCATTATAGCACCAACCCTAAACCCTAAACCACCAAACCCCCTCTTACACGGACGAGGAGCGACAAAATTCCACGAAGAAGAGAGGCTCCAGCAAGACGCCACGGAAAAGCCCCCCGAAAATCCGCGCACTTCAGCCAACCCAAACCTCCCCAAGGATCCCTGTAGTGCCCAACGGGTATATAACCCAAGGTTTCCCTAAACCCTAAACCCTAAACCCTAAACTTGGTACCCCCCCTTGAACCCCCGTCACTTAAGAACCCCAGACTAAGCCCGCGAATTCCTTACCTGCAGAGTGGGGATGCAGAGGCATGAGACGACGGCTCAGTAAACGGTTGTGGGGCCCCACAGACCTTTCGGACCAGGGTAGTTACATGGTCCAACCCTAAACCCTAAACCCTAAACCCTAAACCCTAAACCCTAAACCCTAAACCCTAAACCCTAAACCCTAAACCCTAAACC